CGTTTGTCTTTGTGGAGGCTACGTGTCCGTCCAGCGGTCTACTGGATGGTCTGTTGGGCCAACTATATCGTATTGCGAAGCCTTCTCCGAGACGTGATTCCCCACTACTTGGGACTATGGGGCCTAGTTCGGCCCAGGAAAGTCACGGTCCGACCACGCCTCTTCGAACTACCGGGGATTCGCCCTGTTCTAAGGATGGTTCTACTTCGTTTTCTTCGCCAGAGCTCACTGCAGTCTCTGGGACGTATGGAAGGATACGGTCGAAAGCTTCCGAGAAAGATGTAGACGGATCCACTCGAAGTCGTGATCGGGACCCGATCATCGGGTCGTCGATTGATACTATAGGTAGTCGATGCTAGTGACTCTAGCATTACAATCCCAAAGGTAGATACCGGTGTAAGGTAATACTTAGTTGTGGTCGACAAGGTTGGTAGAGGTGCCAACAGTATTCCTCAAAAGAATCTCCTGAAAGACTCTGTAGTGGTCGTTGTGCGCGGCGTGTGCGCACAATAGCTAATGTACAGATTATCGATCAGTGATATTATGACTGCCCAAACTCTACAGAGTGATTCCTGACGCAATAGTGCCGGTAGAGTGAAGAGGACCGTGTTCGTTCAGGTGCGTCACAATTGTTGAATTCTCATCAACAAACTCTTCAGGTTAAGTCTTATTCGTAATGTCCTATATCTATGCCCTTTTCTCGTTTGCCATTGTGACGCAAGTCCTGGGACACTCTGATTCCTCTTTCCGGGTCGTTGCTGACTACCCAGCGGGTTGTCATGGTGGGCCTGGCCCAGGGGAGGGAAGCGACATCACCGATCTGTTAAAGCCGTCCTGCATTTACAACATGAAGGGCGTCACATATGAAGGAGTTGTTAAAGAGGCTGCCGGGATCATTCTAAACACCAATCGGCCTGGGCATTATGGCAGCATGCATGTTAACGTCACTGTGTCCAAGAAGCCTGGCATCGAATGCAGTACGCTGGTGGAGACGTATGGTTGGGCTCACTTGAGTGTCGGTGATGAAACCCGAGACTTTTGGTGGAACCCAGCCCCAAGGAAGGATGCCTATGGCCTTGGACAGCTCATCCATATTGCTACTATCGACTTTGGTTCTATCCCTGCTGCTAACGTGAGAACGTGGACTTCGTGGCATGGTCTAGACGGTACATCTGATTGCGAGGGTTGAGTCTAATAGCCAGTCAGAAGCCCTCCTCCAATGTACCCAATCCTTCATTCTTCACCGGACA